AACTGTTGTCATCTCTGAAAACAGACATCAGAGAAAATACGTATGTAGTAGGAGACTTCAACACCTCACTATCAACAATGGATAGATCAACGAGACAAAAAATAAGTAAAGACATTAAAGCTCTAAATAATGATCTGGCCCTCATGGGCTTAACAGACATCGACAGAACACTAAACGCAAAAAAATCTGAGTACACATTTTTCTCAAGTGCACACGGATCATTCTCCAGGATCAATGACATACTAGGACACAAGACAAACATCAACAGACACGCCAAGACTGAAATACAACCATCCTCTCTGATCATGAAGGTATCAAACTAGAAATAAACCATAAAAAAAAGGCAAGGAATCCTCCTACCTCATGGAGATTGAAATCCACACTACTGGAAGACCACTGGACTAATGAGGAGATCAAAGAAGGAATTTAAAAATATTTTGAGTTGAATGACAAGGAGGACACCAATTTTCTAAATGTATGGGATGCAGCAAAAGCAGTAATAATAGGAAAATATATACCGATACAGGCTCACATCAAGAAATAAAAAAGAACTCAAAGAAATAACCTATCTCACATCTCAAGGAACTAGAAAAAGAATAACAAAAAACCCCTAAAACCAGTAGAAGAAAGGAAATAATAAAAATCAAAGCAGAAATAAATGAAATAGAAACTAAAAAAAAAAAAAACAAAAAAAAAACAAAGATCTATGAAACCAAAAGTTGGTTCTTTGAAAAAATAAAAAAAAATAGACAAACCCCTAGCCAGGCTCACAAAGGAAAAATGGGAGAAAGCACAAACAAATAGGATCACAAATGAAAGAGGAGAAATCACAACAGACACAGCAGAAATCAAAAAAGTAATCAGAAACTACTATGAACAGTTATATGCAAACAAGTTCAACAATCTAGAAGAGATGGACAAATTCCTACAACTTTACAATCACCCAAAGCTAGATAAAGAAGAAACAGAAGACCGAAACAGACCAATTACAAGCAGTGAAATTGAATTGGTAATCAAAACCCTCCCGCCCAAAAAAAGCCCAGGACCAGATGGATTTACAAATGAATTCTACCAAACATTCAGAAACGAACTAGTACCTATCCCTCATAAACTCTTCCAAAAAATTGAGAAGGAAGGTATAATACCAAACACGTTCTATGAAGCCAACGTTACACTAATACCAAAACCGAACAAGGACAACACAAAAAAAGAAAACTACAGGCCAATCTCTCTAACGAATACTGATGCAAAAAATCCTCAATAAAGGGACTCCCTGGTGGCACAAGAGGTTAAGCACCCCACTATGAAGCAATCACAGCCTCTGCAGCATGAGTTCAATCGCCACCAGCCAGGGAGAAACCCACATGGCGAAGCAGACCTCTCCTGTCTTGCCCGCTGCTTCCGTCAGCAGTGTGTTTCAGTCAGTCTGCCTGTTCTGTTCCCCATTCTGTCTCTGATGAGTCCTCTCACCACCCCACCACCCCTGCATCTCTGGCATGTACCCCAGCTCTTGTATGCATAAATAAATAAATCTTTTTTAAAAATCCTCAATAAAATTTTAGCTATCAGAATCCAACAATGTATCCATAAGATAATTCACCATGACCAAGTAGGATTTATTCCAGGGACACAAGGATGGTTCAACATCCGAAAATCTATCAATGTAATCCAACACATCAACAAAAAGAAATATAAAAACCATATGATAATATCAATAGATGCTGAGAAAGCTTTCGACAAAGTACAACACTCATTTATGATAAAGACCCTTGAAATTCTCAGGATACAAGGAACACACCTCAGCATCATAAAGGCCGTATATGACAAGTCCATAGCAAATATCATTCTCAAAGGTGAAAAGCTGAAAGCATTTCCATTAAGATCTGGAACAAGACAAGGATGCCCACTCTCACCACTGCTTTTCAATATAATACTGGAAGTCCTAGCCAGAGCAATAAGACAAGAGAAAGACATACAAGGAATCCAAATAGGGAAGGAAGAAGTTAAACTATCACTATTCGCAGATGATATGATAATATACATAGTAACCCAAAAACTCCACAGAAAAACTAATCAAACTAATGAATCAGTTTAGTAAACTGGCAGTATACAAAATCGACATGCAAAAATCAGTAGCCTTCCTATATACAAACAATAAATCTGAAGAAGATGAAATCAAGAAAACCATCCCTTTTATTATTAAAACAAAAAAAATCAAATATTTGGGAATAAACCTAACAAAAGAATAAAGGACCTATACAAAGAAAACTACAAAACACCGTTAAAAGAAATAGAAGACACAAAGAAATGGAAAGACATCCCCTGCTCATGGATTGGAAGAATAAACATTATCAAAATGGCCATCCTATCAAAAGCAATTTACAGATTCAATGCTATTCCAATAAAAATTTCAATGACATTTTTCAAAGAAACAGAACAAATATTGATGAAATTCCCATGGAGCCACCAAAAAACCCAAATAGCCAAAGCTCTCCTGAAAATAAAAAGAAGGGAATGGAGGTATCACACTCCCAGACTTCAAACTGTACTACAAAGCCATAATAATCAAAACTGCATCATATTGGAACAAGAACAGACATACAGACCAATGGAACCAAATAGAAAATCCAGAAATAAACCCACAGATTTACGGTCAATGAATCTTTGACAAAGGAGCAAAGAATATGCAATAGAGCAAAGAAAGTTTGTTCAATAAATAGTGCTGGGAAAACTGGGTCACTACATGCAAAAGAATGAAGCTTTTCTACTACTTCACACCATGCACAAAAACCAACTCAAAATGGATTAAAGAACTAGACATAAGACCTGACACCATAAAATATATAGAAGGAAATATAGGCGAAACAGTACATGAGATACACCTCAAAAACATCTTTAAAGACACATCACCCAGGGCCTCCCTGGTGGCACAAAGGGTTAAGCACCACACTATGAAGCAATCTGCAGCCTCTGCAGCATGAGTTCCATCCCTGGCCAGCCAGAGAGCAACCCACATGGCGCAGCAGACCTCTCCTGTCTGGCCCGCTGCTCCCTTCAGCAGTGTATTTCAGTCAGTCTGCCTGTTCTGCTCCCCACTCTGTCTCTGGTGAATCCTCTCACCCCCTGCATCTCTGGCCTGTACCCCAGCTCTTGTATGCATAAATAAATAAATCTTTAAAAAAATAAAGACACATCACCAAAGCAGTGATAGTGAAGGACTATATCAAATTAAAGATATAGCTGGGACTATATCAAATTAAAGAGCTTCTGCACAGCAAAAGAGACAGTAACCAAAACAAACAGACACCCCACCAACTGGGAGAACATTTTTGCACACAACACGAATGATAAAGGACTGATCACAAAAATCTACAAAGAGCTGAAGAGTCTCAACAAAAACAAAGTAAATAATCAGTCAAAAAATGGGCAGAAGAGCTAAAAAGGAACTTCTCCAAAGAGGAAATATGAATGGCCAACAGGCATATGAAAAAAAATGTTCAGCATCACTTGTAATCAGGGAAATGCAAATCAAAACTACAATGAGATACCATCCTACACCAGTGACAATGGCACATATTAAAAAAACCAGCAACAACAAATGTTGGCGAGGATGTGGAGAAAAAGGAACTCTCCTGCACTGCTGGTGGGAGTGCAAACTGGTCCAACCACTACGGAGAGCTGTATGGAGATTCCTCAATCTGCTAAAGATGGAGCTTCCATATGATCCAGCAATTCCACTCCTAGGTATTTACCCAAATAACACAGAAACAGTAACTCAAAATGGCACCTGCACCCCTATGTTTATAGCAGCACTATTTACAATAGCTAAGCTTTGGAAACAACCCAAATGCCCAAAAGTAGATGACTGGATCAAGAAGATGTGGTACATATACACAATGGAATATTACTCAGCAATCAAAAAAGATAAGCACATGCAATTTGCAGCAACATGGATGGAGCTGGAAGGGATCATGCTCAGCGAAATAAGCCAGAAAGAAAAAGAAAAATACTGAATGGTCTCACTCATAGCAGGAATCTAGAAAACCTAAATAAGGGACCAGGAAGAAGACTAATTATAATAAAGTAAAAACCAAAATCAACAAGCAACTATAAACCGGAGACACAATACGGGGTGGGGAAGAGGGAGTAGGATCAAAACAAGGGGGATGGGAATTATATGGGGACAATAACCATGATGAAAATGCATACATTGTGCAAAAATGAAAAATGATGTAAGAAATATATAAAATAAAAAAAACCTATTGAAAAAAAAATAAAATTCCCACAACCAATTCACCCATGGGGGGAGGAAAAAAAGTTTAGTGAGGAAGGAAAAGGGGTGGGGACAAGGGAGGAAGGAGGAGAGATCAGCCCCCAGTTCTCCCAGGACAATCATATAAACAGACACGGTAATGACAACAGCTCCCTGGAGGCCCCTTGGTCTCCAGACAATTCCCCCTTCACACTGGACTTCCGCTGCTCACCTCCACTGCCCACCAGCTCGGGCTTCCCGCCCTGTCTCCCCCTACTCTTCCCCGCCGCTCAGCTTTCCAGAACACACAGGAAAGCCGCATCTCTACTCGAGGAGAAAGCTCCAGGGGAGACAGGTGTGAGAGGGCGCTGTGAGGAAGTGAACACAATCAGAGCGCCCATGTGGATGTGCAGGGCCTGGTGAGGAGCTGACCGGAAGGGGCAGGCCACAGGGCATGGCCAGAAGCCCACGGAAGAGCACATGGAGGCAGCCCAGAGAAGGAAGCGCAAAAGGAGAAGAGCTGAGTCTCGAGGGGCAGATGAGAGCACCCGCAGAGAGTCATCCATCAGGACCAGGTCTTGTGCCCACTTGCCAGACCACAGGTGAGCCGAGGAGAGCAGGCTGGGGCTCACCTTCTCAGCAATGCAGCCACCCTGGAAGGACGGACTCCAAGGGAGGGTGGACAGAAAGGAAGTCTGCAACTAGGCATGAGGCCCAGCATGGCAGGAGGGCACAGGGAGTCACTCACAAGCAAGTTGTCGCAGATGCCACTGGCCACCTTCCCCAGAGTGTTGGCATCAAGAGGAGCCACCAGCATGAGGTCAGCCCACCTCCGAAGTTCAATGTGAAGAACTGGGTCGGAGCGGAACCTCCACATCTGGTAGAGGGAAGAAAACAGGGTCACCAGGCTGTCCACTCTCCCAAGGGGCAGGGGAGGGGAAGGCCAACCCGGTCCAAGGACACTAAGTCAGGAACCCCAGGGAGACCCCTTCAGCAAACCCTGCCCGAGGCCACCGCCATGGCCTCTAGCAGCTAAGCTGGTGAGTGTGGACCACGAAGCCAACAGCCTGAGAGAAGCCAGGCCTGAGGAAACAAACGCCCCTTGTCTCTCTGAGCTATTCCCTTTATGGTTTGGTTTTCAAGAGAACTGACATCTGGCAGGGAACTCCTGGCCTGTCTGCTTGAGGCGGATGCTTGGGTTGTCCAAGTCCGTGGAAGGCTCTGGGGCGGTGAGAAATGGAGGGGGCGGGGTGGGGAAGACAGGCCAGCCAGAAATGTTCTAGGCTGAGAATGTTTAAAACTGCCTGGCAGGGCACCCCAGTGAGGCCCACACTCGATGTCTGGTGAATTGGTCGGTGCCCGCCCCCCTGCGGGGGAGCAGAACAGCCCGGTGGCCGTGGGAAGTGAGGCCATCTCGACAGCCCTGACACTGGGAGCCACGTGGACAGGGGTGGTGGGAACAGAGCTCCTCTGTGGTTTCATCAGCCCAGATAAGCACAAGGACACTCAGCCTCAGGCACCCCGCCAAGGCTGAGGCACTCCGGCAGTGGGAGGAGTCTGAGGGCCTCCTGTGGGCCAGGAGCTACACAGATGTTTTCCTCATCGTCTCTGCCCAGAGGGCCCTGACCGCTGACTGGAGCCTGGTCTGTCTGCTCTGGCCACCAGGACCACAGGCTGCAGGGAGAAGAGTCCTGTCCCGCTGGTAGAATCGCAATGAAACTCGGCCCTAGGGCCCCCGCACTGACCTCCCATTCATCAGAGTCGCTGTGCAGAGTGACAGGAACGTCCTGGGGGTTGTAGAAATGTTTGGCTTTCTCAGTTGTGACCACGGCTACTTCCAGCTGTCACCGAGAAAAAAGTGAAGGCGGGGGAGGGGGGCGAACTGTCAGCACAGCACAGGCCAGGAGGCCAGCGAGGGCTGGGCAGGCCAGCACTTCCCCCCAGCAGAGCTATGCGGGGGACTTCTCCCTTGGCAGCAGGCCCCACGTGCGCAGTTACTTCCGCTGTCACCCAAAGGTCAGGCCCCACCAGGTGCCGCCGTTTCACTTCCTTCTCTGAGGGGCTGCTGAGGAATGAGTCACCAGCCACACAGGGTATGAAGCTGCAGCCCTGCCACACAGACAGAGGGAGGGGAGAGGCAGGGGAGGGTGGGAGACAAGAAGGGAACACAAGACAAGAGGGGCTACCTGAGCTCTGGGCCACACCGTAGGCCTGCTGTCCACAGGCCCAGGAACCGGGAGCTGGGCCCCCCACACATGGTGCCCCAGCAGAAGCAGGCAGAGTCCTTTCATGTACTTCTAGGAACCAGGCCGCCAAGGCCCGGGCTGCAGGCAGATTAGGAAAACCAAACCCGGACATCCCACCCTCATGCAGTGAGAGAAATTTACCTCTGCACTGCCCTTCACTAGAGTAGGTAACAACGCGGCTAATGAGCTTGAAAGGATAAACGGCTGTGAGAAATGGCACATGAGGGTGTTTGACAGGTTGCTGACATCTGTAAGATGAGAGAAGCTGGCAGAGTGAAGGGGCCCAGAAGAGGTAGCTGGAAGAAAACCACCTCTCCGGGGTCATCTGTCCAGGCAAGAGGAGACTCAAAAGTGACCAGGACAGAATCATCGAGAAACCAGAGCAGAGGATGGCAGCGTCTGGGCTGGGTCTAGCCTGCAGACGGGCAATTTGGTCTACATGGGGTTATAAACACTTTTGAGCCAATATACACAAATCTGCAGATTTCACACAGAAAATCCAATTTCCTGGCTTCTCTTGAAAAACAGAAAGCTCTGGCACGGCCGGGCCTGCGCTCCTAGCTGATAATGACGTGGTGGCATTAAGGAACGGCGGCCTCTCTGGGTGGGGCATGCCGGTGCCGATTCCACCTTGTGCCCCTCGCCCCCTCCCCTGCTCTCCGAGGGCTCCTCTCCTGTCTGTCTCCCGGCGGGACGGCGGGATGGTGTGGCAGCCATGCTGCGCGCGGCACCTGAGGGCAAAGCTGGCACGGGAGCAGCTGAACCTCAGAAAATATCTCAGCAGGTCTGACACTCCCAGTTCTACGGGGCAGCTCTTGGACTGGCCCATTCGCCCTCTCCTCCCCTCAGAAGCTGCTATCCCGAGAACTTGCACAGAGTCTCAGGGATATTTTTAAAGGCTTTTAAACCAAACTCCCAGTAAGCACTGGAATTCCCTCTAGGACAGCCCTGAACAAGCTGTCCGGTTCCAAACAAGACGACAACCGAGCAGGGCTACCAGTCCTGGAAAGGCAATGGAAGAGCCAGGCAGGTGACACTACACTGAGGCCAAGCAAGGGACAGGGTGAGTTAGAGCTAACCCTAAGAATACAAGACTTTTGGGCCTCCCTGGTGGCACAAGGGGTTAAGACGCAACCTATAAAGCTCACCACAGACACTACAGCACAAGTTCAATCCCCGGCCAGGGAGGTGATCCACATGGCGTGCAGACCTCTCCTGCTGCGCCCACTGCTCCCCTCAGCAGTGTATTTCAGTCCTTCTGCCTGTTCTGCTCCCCGCTCTGGCTCTGGTGAATTCTCTCACCCTCCCACGCTTCTGACTGTACCCAGTGCTTGTATAAATAAATAAATAAATCTTTTTTTTAAAAAGTGTTAAAAGCACACAGACACACACACGTAAAACAAAAGGATATAAACAGTTACATAAAAGTGTTACAGGGCCTCCCTGGTGGCGCAAGGGGTTAAGATGCAACCTATGAAGCTGTCCTCATCCTCTGCATTGTGAGTTCGACCCCCGGCCAGGGAGCAACCCATATGGCACGGCAGACCTCTCCTGACTCACCCGCTGCTCCCCTCAGCAGTGTATTTCAGTCAGTCTGCCTGTTCTGTTCCCCACTCTGTCTCTGGTGAATCTTCTCACCCCCGTACACCTCTGGCCTGTACCCCAGGTCTTGTGTGCATAAATAAATAAATCTTAAAAAAAAAAAGCGTTGGGCCTCCCCGGTGGCGCAGCGGTTGAGCGCTGGGTTGGGAAGCTGCCGGCAGTCTCTGCAGCGCCGGTTCAATCCCCGGCTGCTCCCCGGCCTCGGGAGGAGGGTCCCGCATGGCGCGCAGACCTCTCCTGCCGCCCGCTGCTCCCCTCAGCAGTGTACTTCAGTCCTTCTGCCTGCTCTGCTCCCCGCTCTGGCTCTGGTGAATTCTCTCTCCCTCCCGCGCTTCTAACTGTACCCAGTGCTTGTATGTATCAATCAATCAATAAATAAATAAATCTTTAAAAAAAAAAAAAAAAAAGCGTTACTGAACGCATCTCTATAAAAGGGGAGGGGCATCGCAACACAGTGAATGGGGGCCATTTTATCCACTCCCTCGTACAGTCACCTTGGACAACAATTCCCAGCGTAGATGTTGAATGGGGAGGCAACTGGAAAGGAACAAGGTGGATATATAAATGGAGGTAGAACAAAAGGAGAAACATGTGGATGAGAGACATGTGGAGAGGCTGCTCTGGGGACATTCCGGTACAGTCCAGGGCAGCTGTTACCTCCACCACGTGGTGCATTACATGGTACATTATGAATTTCAGGTCTCTCCTTCCATCCCAGCTCTCTGGGAACCACCTATCGCCTTTCTTGTGGTTCCTTGCCAGAAGGTACTTTAGACTGGAATTAGTTCTGGAATTCCTCAGTTGTGGAATCTACATACTGACCAAAGACCCAAATCCCCTTCCCACATTTGACCCTAAGAACACTGGACCTATCAGACAAGAATCTGATAGGGTCTCTTCTGGAAATATCCAGTGATCCTGAGAGTTAAGGGGGGAGAGGGGTTACAGGAAAGGAAATCATCAGATATTAAATTTGGAGGTTACCCCAACAAAACATCTCCTCCCTAGCTGGGAACCCAGCAGTGAAGTCCCTGGTGACAGGTCCCACCCACAGTTTCCACTCAGTTTCTGGTGCCCAAATAAGAGGAGTCAAGGATTATCAGATACTCGAGGAAAGCCTCCTGGCAAGAAGAAAAGATTAAACGCATAAACAAAAAATAGACTCACAGGCAATGCAGGGAGAAGTTAAAAATACAGACTATAATATTCTAAGAAAGATGAGAGATTGCGCCTGAGAAACAAGAACAAAGAGCTGGTTTTTTAGAAACATTCAGGGAACCAAAAAGAACTCCCAGAAATTAAAATTATAGTGAAACAAAAAGACTCAGTGTAAGTTTAGAAGCAATCTTCCAGAAAGTAAACAGAAATAGATGGCAAATAGTAGACAAAAAGGTGAGAAAATAAGATCAACTCAGGAGGCCCAAAATCTGACTAATAATGAGTTCCAGAAAGAGGGAACAGAGAAATAGAGGGGAAGAAGGGAGAAATTACCCAAGAAACGAAATGAAACTTCCCAGAACTGGAGAGCTAAGAGGCAGGAGCCACCTCTTCGGCCTGTAGGGGCTGAGGTGTCACCCTTTTGGGGTCTCCTGTCTCCCATCCCTGCCACCCATGAGTTTCTCAGTGGAGCCTGCGCCCACGTCCGCTCTTGGGGAAGCCACATCCTCCTGCTGATGTACGTGGGGTTTGCAACCAGCAAAAACTCAAAAGGGTTCTTTTCACTCATGTTGCTACTAAGCCACAAGCTCCACACTACACCTGAGCAGTTACTTTCCTGGCCCCAAATGCAATCTCTCACATTGCCCTGGTAAACTCTCCCTTTCTAGAACTGGCCCATGGTTCGCTCTGTTTACCCAGAGCTCCTGAGATCTCAGTCCTGTCCCTTTTGACTGTTCTCAGCCAGCGCCGCCTGAGCAGCCCCTCAACGTGAATCCAAACCATGAAGAGAAGAAGGTCAAGAGCAAAGCTCTTCCACAAGGCCCACAGGCTGGGGGTGGGAAAGACTCACGGATGACCCTTCCCGAGTAAGATCTTTCAGTGACCATAAACTGGCTGACATCACCAGAGGGCCCGGGGGATGTCCTAAGATTCTATGAGCGGCCTTCCCTAGATCAAATGTAGTTTGTCTAATATTCAAAAGATAAACTGAAACTCGCTTGTCCGCGGGAGCCCAATCAAGCCCGCTGACGCCATTTTCTAAGTGCATTTCTCAGCACTCAATCATCTGCAGTGATTTCTGGAGTCTGCCACCTGTGCCTTTCTGATAAATGGACATTAATCACCTCCAGTCCCAGGCCCTCGGCTGTTTCCTGCACAGCCTGTGGTTCACCAACCCCAGCCTCAGCCCCCCAGGACAGAACCTGCCCAGGTCTGGAGATAAATCACTCAACTTGGGTTCAAGTCCTGCCCCTCCTAGCATAGTTTTCCTACTTTTTCAAGCTCATAAGATGGAAATGAAATAGGACTCAAGAGCCCCTCTCATTTCTTTCTGTCCCTCCTGACATTCCACACTGACGCCAGGACTGGGCACTGCTCCGTTCTTCTTTTTCCAACTACATGCTATGGCCTCTCGGTCAGCCGAAGTCTCACCACTAGCGTCAGCTCATGTTGGTGGCCTCTGAACTACTCCTACCTTTGCTTACAGGGCCTCCTTTCCATGCAACTGCTTTTCTGTCTCCTTCAGCAGAAGGCTCCGCAGGTAGCCTACCAGTTTCCTGTCACTGCCTGCTTCTCCTCACGCGAACCACTGTCTTTTATTTCTAAGAGCTTTTCAACCACTCTGAACCATCTGCCACTAAGAATGCCCCAGTCCATCCTCTATTTTCAACACTGGAAAGCTGCTTCCTGAAGATCTAGCTCCCCAACTCTTGCCAATGCCCAGGCCAGCTGCTGGTTTTCAGAGGACTGTGCCTAGGACCCGCCTTCAGAAAAGTTCCAGTTTGGCAGAGGCCCTGCGCAGGGCGCCCACCTCCCAGCTCTACCCTTCCTTTCCC